GGATTCATCAAAGTAAATGAATATTTCAAATGAGAGTCCAGTTGTCTTTAAATATAATGGTACTTGTTTTAAATGTTTCTATCTGCCGTTGATTCCCCTGTCACTCTTTTTATTGCCTATGTGGAAAACCTGTTGTAGCACATACGACTGCACAGTGCATAACTCAGCCTTCTTCCGTTCTGTTTGCTTAGTTGTTCTTAGTTCGGTGTGCAGTAGGAAAGGACATTTACGTCTAATTGCTTCTTTTTCATTGACACTTAAAATCTGCCTGACCGTGCTGTTTCTTTGCAATGCAAGCATTGACATTCCTGACCGATACTGAGTACGAAAACATTAAAATCCTACAGTTACCTGTGTTACATATGATGAAAGTGAATCGGGTATGAGACTCAATTAAAATTGCTGTAGCCAGTCTTGCCTGAAACCTCTGTGGTTCAGCGTGGAAGTTCGATGGAGATGACTTCAGCTTGGATGCCAGATTCTTCGTTTCTTATTTTCAGAGTAGCTGGCTACCTTAGCTTTAGGTGAGCGTTTGCAATGCGAGCTTAATCGCTATACATGATGTAATGGTGGTGGCGATCTTCTAAATAACTTCAAATGCCAGCTTCCGTAGGGTGTGTGGGAAGAACTGCAGATTTCTGTGTAGTTCCTTCCTACAACTGCCTTCATTTCGGTCGGGTTGTTACCGTTTTATCTACTCCTTCTCCTCCCATGTTTTAAAAATCCTGGCTTTCAGGGGAAAAAAAAAACCAACAAAAGCAAACAAACTCACCTCACCCACCCCCCAAACAAACAAACAAACAAACAAAACCCCCCGAAACAACCCCAAAAAACCTGGTGGACTTGGAATGGGCCCCTTGCCATCTGCAAAAAATACATTTAATGCATGCAATAAAAAAGGAAGAGACAGATAGAAGAGCAGAAGGTGAAGGAGGTGGAAAAATAATAAAAAAGAAGCTGCTGCCTAAGACTGATACTGCCTGTATAAAATGTTTGCATGCTTCCAAGTTTTATCTATAAAGAGGAGGCCCTGGTTTAGTCTGATATTTTGTATTTTTAATAAGAAATAGTGTACTGTAGGTACTTTTAAATTGTAGTATAATCACGACAGAAATTGCACCATTGTGTAAGAGTGAAGTTGCCTGTAGCAACAGTTCTCTTCCTGCTCTTACGTCTCCTTCCCCTCCCACTCCCTTGCCCTAGAAAAAACTCTTGCCGCAGCAAAACAGGTAGACAGTCAGATACTATTACAGAAAAAAAAAAAAAAAAGCACAAAACCCCCCAACAAAAACCCCACCCCCCTGGTATGGTGTGCATGCTTTATGCATTTTCTTTCTTCCTTCACTTTTCTACCCTCAAACTGGAGGCAGTTTCTCGCCTGGCCTGAAGGGGCTGGAACTGAGACACTTCCCGTTGGCTGTGTTGGGGTTTTCACCCCACCCGGTCTGGAGCGGGGATCCCGTGCTTGCGGGGTCACCGCTGGGGAGCAGCGGCGTGCGGGGTCGTACAGCGATGCTCAGGCTGCCTAGAGCCTTTCTGCTGGGTTTGGCGGAGCTGACCAAGCCGATGTGTGAAGGACAGGCTGGAACGCGGCTTTGGGGTTGTGACTGCGCCTAAAAGAGCGCCGGTTGAAGACTTCCGTGGTCCTCCGCGATGTCGCCAGTTAACCAGTGGATTGTCGGAGGCTTTGGCTTCATGCACATGTTCCTCGTTTAAACTTCGGTTTCAAATCGCTCCTCACATTCCTTCAGGTTTTCTGGAGTATTTTGAACAACAGCTTTGTAGAACTTACTGGAAGAACGTTATTTCTGCACTGTTTATTGCCAGAGAAAGCTGTTTCTTCCTCAAGTACTTTTTTGGGGGTGTAAAGCAGGTTGTGTCTAAATATTCTGGGTTAAGAGTTATAAGCCAAACAAAAATATATAACCCAAGAGGGACGCATTCAGCACTCCCATAGATGTGCAACCAGCGGAGTGCAGGGTGCTCTGAACTAAAAGGTGCTCGGAGCTGCTGCCGTCCTCCTGTACATTTAACGTGACCATAACCTCACGCCAAAGCCTTGATCCGGACCTGCCGTACAGTTGGATCTGGTGAATCAGAAAGGTGGGTAAGAGATGGAATACTGCAAGCAGTGTCTAACCTTTCACCTTAGCTCGGAAGAGGATTAAGCAGTGCATCTACTCCAGAAAGCTTCCCTCGTTAGAAATTAGGAAGTAAAACCAGTAGATGCTGCCGCGGGCGCTGCTGGAGGTGGGAGCTGAGTTATGACACCAAGTGCTGGAGAGTTCAGCTGAGGTAGCAGCCCCCGTTCCGGGGAAGTGACATGGCTGCCTGTAAAACCCAGAACCCCGGTGTGGTACGTGCCTCCAAGCGCTGCACGTCAGCACCACGAGCACCGACGCTGCGGCAAAGGCCTTACGCGTGCGGATGGAACAGCTGCCCCGGCAGCGGGGTCGGGGGTGCTGACCCGCAGTGGCGAGCGGTAGCCGTTCATCTCCCACCCGTCCCTTGAGGGTGCCCACTCTGCTTTCCTGCCGGGGCATGAATTGTGCGTGGCTATTTGCTCTGCGAGCGTTTAGTGAGATCGCTTTTGCTGTCCACGCTGCTCTTTGGGGCTGGTGGGACAGAGGGGGATCCCTCAGTGGTGAGCGGGCGCGTCACAGCGTCTGCACCCGCTGCTGGGATGGAGCAGGGTGAGGTCAGGGCACATCGACAGCTCCAGCCGCTGTCTAGGGTGAAACGCGCTTTCAAATGATCCTCTGTCCAGATCACCCAACAGTGTCGTTGGCTTAAAATAAACATCTTTGCTGTGAAAGCGGGTGTTCAAACTCAGCGATGTTCTCTTTAAACGCTGGAGATCAGATGTCAAAGACCGAGTTAGCCACACTGCGCTACCGGCTAGCCACGCTATGCTGCCCTTAGGGTCCCGCTGGTCATCCTGGCTTACTCGAGGCCGGTGCTGGAAGCCAGGCCAGCCACGCTGCACTGGAAGTGCCCGTTTTTCCTTTGGCTGCAGAGAGAGCTGGAAGGGACCTGGAGGTTTGACTTCAGATGCTAAGAAGAGGTGTAAAAAGAATCACCCCCCAACTTATTGTGGAGGCAAGGAGGGGAGGAGATGTCTGCCCTTGTGACATATTGCAGTTAATCCGATTTCTTTTTCAAAGGCTTGAAAGGCAGAGCAAGTTCCTCGGGCTGAGAAGGTGTGTTCCTGGTGAATCCGAATGTATTGTCGGGGTAGACCAAAGGGAGTTGAGTCAGCAAGGGAGAGCCCACGGGCTGCTAATGCCTGAATCTGTGCTGGGAAGAGAACGGCTGGTTTTTCTGTACAAAATGTGCTGCTGTTCCTAATGAATATTGTTCCCTATCCTTCCTCCTTCCTGCTCCAACCTCTGCTTCCTTGGATAACTCTCATCTCTCATCAGGAATGGCACTGCGCAACAGTTTGTCCTGTAGGACCCTGCCCTGGTGACTGAGCCTGGCTCCCTGACCCAGGGAAGGGCGCCAGCAGGAGGACTCACAAGTGGTTAAAGCCTCAGCCCAGGATGCGAGAAAAACATTGCCCATACGTTTACCCCGTGACTTCAGGAGCGCTACAAACCCCTGATGTTTTGGCTGTTCTGGAGGGACCTGGGCATGCTGGTGATTCAGCTGTAGCGTGCTGAACCAGGCCCTGCAGTGCAAAAACCTACTTTGCTGCAGCAGAGGAGGGGGGAAGACAGTTTTGAGGATCAGTGTATTAAAGATTGTGGCACTGACCGGGTGGTAGATACCCAGATATGTAAAGGGGGAGACCAGCTCCAGCAGAAGCGAGTGAGAGTCTTTTTGCTGGCCATACCATCCCCGTAGGGTGGGGAAAGCCCATTTATTAAGTCTGAGTGAGCTGTTCCCTCTGTGTGCGGCGGAGTGCTCTGGGCTGTGGTCACATCTGTAAGTGTGACGCATCTGTTTGTCACAGAGAGTACAGCGCAGGCCCCAGGACACCTGACGCTGAGCCCCGGGAGCGTAGTGCAGGGGCTGTAAGGATGTGCTCTGTGTTTCTTCTGAAGTGTGCGCAGACCTGGTATCTAAGGATCTGTCCTTACAAATCCAGAGGACAATGCAGGGAGTGCTCCTCGGGAAACGTGTCCCAAAAATCCTGGGAACAGCCTGGCTCAAGTGTCTTGGGGAAGTTGTGTGTTGATGGAAAAGTACAGCCAGGAGCTGGAACTACTGGCTAGTCTGGAATAGTTTACCTCTACGCTGCCTTTGCCCTTGAATTGCCAGTACTTTTTGAAGTCTTAAACACCATTTTATTAAAAAAAAACCCAAAATACACACAAAATACCCCACCAAGACCCCTGTAGGAAGCATGGTGTTTGCCTGAAAGTGTATTTTCTTCTTTTTCACCATTTTGCTCAGGCTATTGGAAATGTTGAACATCAGTGCAAATGTTTCCAGTGTTCTGGCCGGGATGGTGAGCTGCGGAGGCAATCATTCCCTCCCCACTAGCTGTGGGTGCTGGAGGATGTAGATAAGCCCCTGCCGTTTGACAGGGTGGTCATTTGAAGGTCTCTCTGCAGTTGCCCGTCCAGCCCGCAACGCATCCGTGCTTTCATCCCCTGTAGAGCCCCCGGGGGCGGCCCTGCTCTTGGGTCAACCTCTCCCAAGTCTCACAGAAGCCAGCGCTGGATGGGATTAGGCTTCTGGATCCCCGCTCCCCCCACGTCCTCTCCTGAGTCTCAGTGGCCATGGGGAGCTGCTGCCACCGTGGGCACCCGCTGCTCTGGTCGTGGCAGTCGAGGCGCTAACGGCGAATCTCCCGATTTGCACAGTGGGGCTTTAATTTTCCGTGAGGGCCACGCAGCGCTGCGGGCTATAGCATCGGATCATCTCCAGCTCATTTTTAGGGAGGGTGCGTACTTGTGCCCTCAAAGGGTAGAAGTTGTTTCAAGTCTTGTCAGATAGTGAGTCACTGGTGATTAATGTTTAACTGTGCAGGCGGCAGGCACTAGGACCTCCTCAAGGCTGCATCTGCAGCCCTTGCCAGAAGAGAAATCAGGAAATAACGCAGTAGCTCTTTCTGGGAGCATGCCCTTGAAAATGAAGCTTTGCTGCTCCATATGAAAGAGAATTTACTCTCCAGGAATTCAGGAACCTGAAGCCAGGTTTGGCTGTGGACTCCTCCGAGACCTCGCTGCCCCCGAGGCCCTGCATGGACGTTGCTGGGAGGTGAGTGCGAGGGTCTGTTCGAGTTGCAGGCGACGCGTTGCTGTGTCTGCTCTGCCTGAGGAGAGGGACAGGCGCAGTGTAGTAGTGTTAAGAGCATTGCGGTCAGCGGGGAAGTGACCAGGTGTCACCTGATTTTCAGCAAGACTTTTGCTGTCCTTTGCTGTTTGCCGAAGTGACCCTTAGCACCGACGAGTGTTTGTAAAAAAGTTCTCCAGTTTGTGTTTCAAAGGTGTGTGCTCAGCGCATCCAGCTCCGGCTGCAGTGCAGAGGTGCGAGATGCAAATGTCTGTGTCCCCTCTTCTGCTCCTACTGGGCTGTTGGGTCCTGCAGCTCCTCGGCTGGGGTAACTCTGCACTAGAAACAAGCCTGACCTCTCCGGGTTTGGGTTGGGATGGCTCCACCAAACCCCACCGGGTTGTGGTACTCCTCGTGCTCGTTGCAAATACTCGGGTTGACTGATTAAAAAAAAGCACAGAACAGCCCCAAAACAAAGAAGGGGGCAAGTATGTCCTCCCAGGCTTCCTGCTCACGCGTCCTGCTTGTGGGAACGTTATGAGAGATGACAGGACATGACAAATGCTCGTTCCAGTGGTGGAACTGCATGGACCAAAAGTCTCCCAGAACAAGCAGTTGCTTTAGGACAAGGCATGTGAGTGTCACCAGGAGGAAGGGGATTCACTGCCACTGCCCGCTGGTGGCTGTGTGGCGGCACTGGCCCCTCTCCAGGCCCTGCCAGCAGCAGGTCTCCATCTGGGGGTGCACGTCTGGCACCCCGAGCCCTAGTGCCAGCTGGGCCCTTGGGCGCTCAGGGTGGAGGGTCCATCCCTTCCAAGGACCACCCACTGTCTGCACACAGGGGCAGAGCTGAGCAAACAGTTGCTGCTTTTCACCAGAAATTATTGTCCTGGAGCAGCAGAAAATGAAGGACCAACTGCCAGAGCTGCTGTCGTCCTTCCTGGCTCAGCCAGCACAGGGACATGGTTGTACCACAGCGAGGGGTGTGCAGTGGGCCCTGTCCTTCAGCTCTGTGCCTGTGATGCCCTCCCCTGTCCTGGAAGTGAGCTGAGCTGCATCCAGTCCCGTCAGACTCCGGCTGTGCTTCTGAGTCCACCGAGATAATACATGTGGCACAGACGGGCTGCAGGATGAGAGGATGTCTGTGCTAACTAACGATGGCTTCTGGAACAGATAAAGCTGCCTGCTAGTATTAACCTTGCAACGGCTGCAATTGTCCCTTTTGTGTTGTTGTTCTGGATAGGGGCTGACACGGCAAGTCCGTGGATCCTTGCCGTCATGGAGACAGGCTGGGGTTTACCACCGGTGATGCAGAGGAGTGACCATGACTCACCCTCCAAAAGAGGAATAGAGCAAAGACTGTCATCTCTGTTCCAAGGAGCCGAGTGAGCCCCCACACCTCTCCTGGCACAGCAGAGACATCCTCCTGCTCTGGCTAGAAGTTTCCAAGAGGCCAAGAGTGGGGTTTTCCGAGAGCGGCGCAGCCAGGGCCGGGTCCCAGCCCTGCACTGTCCGGCCCTGCTCCGCTCTCGTGCTCACTGAGTGCCAAGAAAACCTGTGTGTGAATGAAATCACCTCTCCCCATCAGACATTTCTCTTCTCTGGAAACTGATGCTTCCCTGGTGGTTTTGAGGTCTTGGAAACAGAGAAGCACTGAGCTGCGCGGAGTTTCACACTATGTATTCTCCCGTATGAAGGAGCCAGGTGGGCACAAAGCAGCTTTGCCTGCAGAGGACGTGGGTCTCACCGTCTTTGGCAAAGCCGAAGAGTGTGAGTTGCGAGCACTGAGAAATCCCACCTTCCTCTAGGAAAGGAAAGAAAGCGTCTGCAGCGCGGTGACAAATTCCAACCGCAAAATGGATCTGGAAGAAGGGGGCTGAAATCAGAACAAAACTTACAGAAGCCATGATTTGACTTCTAAGAGCGTGGTGGGTTTGGGGATGAGGCCATGGCGTGGGGATGCCCTGCAGACCAAGCGGTGCCACCGAGGACACGGGCTTGGTGACAACGCCCCAGCGGGGGGGCTGCTGGAGAGGATTTTCCCACCGAGTCCCACCACCCGCAATTTCAGCTGTACAAGGAATGAGTGGATGGAACCCTCTGGGAAACTGCCCTTAAGGATAAAGGCACTGAACAGAGCTGGTAGCTCTTTAAGGACATTTTTCTTAGAATTCCAGAGCTCTTAATTCCAGTACATTAAAAAAAATGGACAAGGAAGGCAGGAAACCAGTGTGACTCAGTAAGGACCTCTTGGTCAAACCAAAGTGTAAGAAGGAAATGCACAGGCAGGGGAACCAGAGACGTGTCTCCTAGAAAGAATATGGGGATGGGATCAGGCGAGCTGATCTCCAGGTAGTGGGATTTGGCAAGGGATGCCAAGAATAATGAGGAGGGCTTCTACAGGTACGTTGGCCAGAAAAGGAAGATCAAAGAAAATGTGTGTCCTCCTTAAATAAGTTGGGAGATCTGGTGACAACCAACGTGGAGAAGGTGAGGTGCTCAACAGGGGGGGGGTTTGCCTCAGTTTTCAACAGTAATCTCTCTCCCCACGTCTCTCGAGCCCCTGAACCGCATGGCAGAGATCGGGGGAACAAAGTCCCTCCCATTCTAGAAGAAAATCAGGTTCAAGACCACCTGAAAAACCCGAACGTACACGAGCCTCCAGGCTCCAGCAAGATGCAGTCCAGGGTCCTGAGGGAATTGGCTGATGTAGTTGCCAAAGCCACTCTTCATCGTATTTGAAAAGTCGTGGCAGTCAGGCAAAGTTCCCAGTGGCTGGGGGAAGGGAAACATCACACCTATTTTCAGAAAGGAGGACCTTGCTGACCAGTCAGCCTCACCTCGCTGCCCGGTGAGCACATGGAGCAGATCCTCCTGGAAGATATGTCAAACCTCATGGAAACCGGAGAGGTGATTAGAGACAGCCGGCACCGTTTCCCCGAGTGAGTGCAGATTGTGCCTGACTAATCTAGCAGCTTTCTATGATGGTGACTGCATCAGGGGACCGGTCAAGAACTGTGGATATCATCTACCCCAACTTCTGTGCGGCCTTTGGTATGGTCCCCCCCCACATTCTGACCTCTAACTTGGAGAAGTTTGGGTTTGAGGATGGACTGCTGGGTGACAAAGAATCGGCTGGATGGCCAAGAGTTACGGTCAATGGCTCAGGGGACAGCAGTGGTGTACCTCAAGGGTCCACACCGAGACAATTACTACTTCATACCTTCATCAGCGGTGTGTGTAGTGAGACTGAGTGGACGCTCGGCATGTCGGCAGATGAGACCGAGCTGGGTGGCGCAGCTGATCCCCTTGGGGGAGGGGGTGCCACCCCAGGACCTGCAGTGACGGGATGAGGGGCAGTGGTTTTAAACGGAAAGAGAGTGGATTTCGCTTGGATATGAGGTAGAACTGTTTCACGATGAGGGGGGTGAGGCCCTGGCACAGGCTGCCCAGAGCAGCTGTGGCTGCCCCCTCCCTGGCAGGGTTCAAGGCCAGGCTGGACGGGGCTCTGCGTGATCTGACCTGGTGGTGGAAGATGTCCCTGCCCACGGCAGGGGGGTTGGAAGTAGATGATCTTTAAAAGGTCCTTTCTAACCCAAACCATCCTGTGAGTCTGTGATCTTCCCATGGAGGCGACCCTGGAAATGAGGGGCTGCAGAACGGGCAAGCCCGCGGGTTTGAACTGCGCAGGGCTCACATGCATCCCAGCACGACAGGCTGGTGGGAGGGGAGCACAGGGACCTTGCATGAGGATCCCTGGCCAGCGGACGTGACAATCCTTCCTCAGCCCAGCCTTGCCGTCAGCGTCCCCCCCGCAGCAGGCAGCCCCCACATCGGCCCTGCTGTGCCCCACGTCAGCGGGGCCCCACAGCCGGTGCCTCTTGTGGCCCTGAAGACTTGAAACTGATGAAACAGGAGATGAAAACACAAGTTCCTAGTAAAACCACACTTCCCCCGGTGGCCGTGGTGATGGGCGCCTGTTATGACAGCAGTGCCGGCGGGTGGTGGAGCGCATCTTTGGACTCCAAGGTGGGGAGAAGGAGCAGAGGCCAGAAGAGAGGGTCCCACTCCCGCCTGGCTTTGGGACAGGAGTGTCCCCAGGGTACAACCAGTGCAGGCGGCTTTCAGCCGGCTCTAATCCTTCTCCGTCCTGTGGTGTGGGGCTGCCCTGCATGGACCGGCTTGCAGGGGGCTGCGCTGGCCAGAGGAGCTTGTGGGGACAGCAGTGGTGGCCTGGGACAGGTCAGCTCAGCCCCATCCCTCCACAGCCCCCTTTGGTTCCTTCCCCGCAGGTGGCAGCAGGAGAGCACGGGGAGTCTCTGATGCACTGACGGCAACCATGTCTGGGGTAAGCGGGATTTCCACAGGGGTGCCAGCACTTCCCCTGCCAACATCGGGGCGATGTGTCCCCCCGGCACCGCAGTGGGGTGGAGGAGGGCTCGTGCCCAGTGCCCCTCGTCCCCAGCCGGGGCTTCAGATGGTCCTTGGAGCTGTCCCTGATGGTTGTAGGGGGGCGGGAGGGCAGCTCTCGCTCTCCCTGCTGATGCTCTTTTCCCGTGCAGAAACGCTGGCCCCCCGGGACGCAGTGCGTCACCAAGCACGACCACACCAAGCCCAAGGCCCGGGAGCTGGCCTTCCGCAAGGGCGACATGGTCACCATCATTGAGGCCGTGGAGGTGAGCCTGGTGGTGCTCGGGGGGCACGCCGCCCTGGAAGGACATGGAGGGCATGGGACCCCAGGGTCACCAGCTGTGCTGCTGGAGCCGTCTCCCACCTTTCCAGCGGGACCCCCCCTTCCTTCTCGTGCTCTGAGACACTTTTGCCCCCAGGGCAAGGGCTGGTACCGTGCCAGACACAACGAGACGGGGCAGGAGGGGGTGCTGGCCGCCAGCGCGCTGCGGGAGCGCGGTGCCATCCGCGTCGACCCCAAGCTCAGCCTCATGCCGTGAGTACAGCTGGGAGGGGACCTGGGCGGGGGCAGCATCCCAGGTGAGCCCCCGGGAGCTGCGACAGCAGATGGGTCCAGCGCGTCTCCCCTCAGCCAGGTGTTGGGTGGGCAGCTGGCACAGGGCAGCCTGTATCCCTGCACGGGCAATGGAGGGATTTTCTGGGGCCAGCACCTGGCTTTCAAGACCCCCAGTTGTTGCCCACCCAGCTTGGATGAACCTCAGCACGGGGGGTGTCTGCGTAGCCTCAGCGGGGGCTCTGCTCTCCCTGTCTCACTGCTGGTGCCGGGGGAAGCCCACTGGCACGGCCTCTCTCCTGTTGCCCCCCTCCCCAGGTGGTTCCACGGGAAGATCTCGGGGGTGGAGGCGGTGCAGGAGCTGCAGCCCCCCGAGGACGGGATGTTCCTGGTGCGTGAGTCTGTCCGGCACCCCGGTGACTACGTGCTGTGCGTGAGCTTCGGCAAGGAGGTGATCCACTACCGCGTGGTGCACGAGGAGAACACGCTCAGCATCGACAGCCAGCAGTACTTCTCCAACCTCATCGACATGATCGAGGTGAGACCTTCCCTCCCCAGGCAGCGAGCTCTGCCGAGGGCAGAGAACCTCATGGGGTCACACGGAGCAGCGGACATCCCCGGCCCTTTCTCCTGTGGTTTGCGTGTGGTTCTGTTACCGGTGTAATTCTCCATCCCTGCTGAAGGCTCGTGGTTCCCGCTCGGTTCGGGGGGCCGTGGATGTCCTCTGCCATCGCCCGGCCGTGCCCCAGCAGCCCCAGTCCCCTGCCTGGGGCCACGTTCCTCCCATCCCCTCTCATTCAGCGCCTCACGCAGCAGCAGGGCTTTGGGCATTTTGGAAAGTGAAGCTCCTCTGCTACCCCTGGACCTTGGATAAAGTCTGAGCCCCGCTGAGGCTCGGAGGCGTTTTGCCATGCTTCTCTCCACTCTGAGCCCCCTCTCAGGGCTCCCAGGCTGCTGCGTGAGCTCCCACCCTTCCAGCGAGCGCTTCCTCAAGGTCCATCTTCACCCGGTGTCATACCCACTGCCCTTTCCGGAGGCTCAAAATCTCATGCTTTCCTTATTTAATTACAACTTCTGCTTTGGAGTGTGTCCTTTCCCCTTTCAGCTGCCCCAGCCCCAGTCTAACCCCGATGGCTGTCCTGCCACTTCCTCTCCGTGTCACCTCTGCAAACCACCCTTGGCTGCTGCAGTGGCTGCGGAGCCTTTAGCCCCCTCGGCTGCCGTCTGCCCAGCGGTACCACCCCGTCCTGCCGGGGCTGTCGTGGTGTTTCCCGCCTGGGCCCAGAGGGGAGCGGGGCTGAGCCACGGGCTGTGCATGGAGGCGCTGTGGGAAATGCGGCATTTCATGCTGCTGCCGAGCTGAAGGGGCTCCAGGCCCCTCGATGGTGGTGGGGTCCTGTGGGGCATCCTGTGGCCCTCTCCTGGTTCCATGCCCCGAGCTCGGCGTCAGAGATGGCAGCGCCGCATTGCCTCTATCTGTTCGTCCCTTGGCAGCACTACATGAAGGAGCAGGGAGCCATCTGCACCAAGCTGGTGAAGCCCAAACCAAAAACCGGGATGAAGTCGGCCGAGGAGGAGCTGGCCAAAGGTAGGGTACGGCGGGCGAGGGTTGTAGTCTGGGTTTTGGGGACACAGCAGCGCGGCCCTGTTGGTGTCCCCTGCTAACCTGCCCCTGTGCCTGTGCCCAGCTGGCTGGTTGCTGAACCTGCAGCACCTCACACTGGGAGACCGCATTGGGCAAGGAGAGTTCGGAGGTAGGTGAGGAGGTGGGGCTGGAGGTTTCCTGGCCGCAGGCTTCCCCAAGTGTCCCCTGATGTCCCCTCCCCATCCCATGGCAGGGGGGCCTTAGCCTGGCGTGCCGGGGGTTGGGTCTGGGGCTGAGCCTGATCCCCCGTGTCCCCTCCCAGACGTCCTGCAGGGTGAGTATATGGGGCAGAAGGTGGCCGTGAAGAACGTCAAGTGCGATGTGACCGCCCAGGCCTTCCTTGCTGAAACAGCTGCCATGACGTGAGTGCCCTGTGGGGGGATACAGCCCAACCCTGTCCCATGACCCGGGCACGAGCAGGCACCCCCTTGACCCGGATCCCCTGCATTTCAGGAAGGTCCGGCACAAAAACCTGGTGTGTTTGCTCGGCGTGATCCTGCACAACGGCCTCTACATCGTCATGGAGTTCATGAGCAAGGTGAGAGCACCCAGCCAGTCCTTGGCCAGCAGGAGCTGCCGCTATGGGGGCCGAGTTGGACGGATGCCAGGTGCTGCAGCCCTTGTGGGGTGCAAAGTCTCCAGGCAGCCCTGTCCCCTTGGTCCTTACACATTTCTCCTCCTCTGTCAGGGCAACCTGGTGAACTTTCTGCGCACACGGGGCCGGGCACTTGTCCCGACCCAGCAGCTCCTCCTGTTTGCTCTGTAAGTCCATCTCCCTCCCTCCGGGCTGGGGACTGGTGCTCTGGGTCACCCCCGAGAGGTGACACTACTCTGTCTTGCTTGGCCACGGCAGGGACGTGGCTCAGGGCATGGACTACCTGGAGTCCAAGAAGCTGGTGCACAGGGACCTGGCTGCCCGCAACATCCTCATCTCTGAGGAGAACGTGGCCAAAGTGAGCGATTTCGGCTTGGCCCGGGTCAACCCCAAGGGTGCGGACGCCACTTTACTGCCCGTGAAGTGGACAGCTCCGGAGGCCCTGAAACACAACGTGAGTGGGTCTCCCCTGCTCGTTCCCCCTTCTGCCAACCCGTCTCTGCCCCGTGGTGGCTTCTGGCACGTTCAGCCCTGCATCTCCTGAAATGTGAGCTCTGTCCTGGGCAGCCCTTGCCCTGGTGTGTGGTGGCACTCGGGGCAGCTCTGACGGGATGCGGCAGGATGGACCCGGGGCCGTGGGGGTGATGGGAAGGGAGAGGGTTTGCATCTCGGGGAGCTGGGGGTGGCAGGGGACAGGCACCGTCTCCTTTCTTGCCCTCACGGAGGGATGGGGTCCAGCGTGGCCCCCGGCCAGCTTCAGCCTCCCCTCCTCCTACGGATGCAGAAATTCTCCTCCAAGTCGGATGTGTGGAGCTACGGGATCCTCCTGTGGGAAGCCTTCTCCTTTGGACGAGCACCCTACCCCAAGCTGGTGAGTGCTGTGCTGGGGGTGCCGCAGGTCACACCCCACTGGCACCGGTGGGACAGGGACATCCCCTGGCCCCTGGCCGGGGTGGGCCCTGGGCGGGGAAGGGGAGTCCCAGCTGCCTTATCCATCCTGCCAGAGCCTGAAGGAGGTGACGGAGCTGCTGGAGCAGGGGTACCGCATGGACCCCCCGGAGGGCTGCCCACCCACCGTCTACGCCCTGATGAGGAGCTGCTGGGAGCTGGAGCCAGGCAAGCGGCCGTCCTTCAAGAAACTCACGGAGAAGCTGCAGAAGGAGCTGAAGCACCTGAGGGATGTTTAAGCCCCATCTCACTCCTGGGACCTGTGACCAGAAGCCCCCCGGACCCGCCGGGGCTGGGAGTGGCACAGCAAGGGGTGGCCGGGCAGCGGCGTGGCCCGCGGCACCGCTCTCTCGTGGTGGAGATGGGCAGCAGCTGGGGAGTCTCTCCTCCCCCAGGGCGCCCGAAGGGGAGGCAGCAGCCTCCGTCCATCCTGGCACAGGTCCTTCTCCCCACCACGCAGCCCAGGGACTATCCTACTGGGTCAATCTCCCCTGACCCGCCGGGGTGGGGAGAGCAGCCCCACGGCGGGACCGTGCCACACACGGTGGGTGCTGCACGTGGGGCCCCTTCGAGCCGTCCCTCCCGGTGACAGGGGACAGGAGGGGACACCTCCGCTTGCCGGAGGATGAAACCCCAGCCCTGACACAGCCCTGCTCCAGCCACCTGGCCCCGTGCGGAGACACTGGACACAGCCAGCTAAACCCCACAGATTTGGGCTTTTTGATTAAACCAAAGAAATTAATTCAACAGCATCTTTAAGCCTCTGGGCTGAAATTAGGCCTATCCCTCACTTGGGGCCTGGCAAAACAGAAAATGGCTTAGTGGGGACCCAGGAGCTCCGGCCCTCAGAGCCCACCGTGCACAGCCTAGCCCCTCTCCCCTCTGGGCTTTGCGCAGCTGGGGATTATTCTTTTAATCAGAGTCTGTATGGGAATTGCTTGCATATAGATTACAGGAGTGGGGCACGTCCTCCGGCAGCGGGAAGCCCCCGGCCCCGCCACTCCCAAGCAATCTCGACATCTCGGTGGAGCCGGGATTAATGGGGGCAGGGGGCCACACACGCGCGGTGTGTGTTTGTGTGCGTGCGCCTGCCCGCCGCCTTGTCTTCCTTTGACCCTCGAATGGGTTTTTTCAGCTAATCCTCTTGTGTTTCCTCGGCACTGCCTTCTTGCACCTCCAAACCCCCTGTGCCACTGTGGGTGGCTCTGGGTGCCCACAGCACAGGGCTCCCCCCAGAAGGATCCGGTCTTGCGGGTGCTGCGCTCCATCGGGGCCCATGCAAATGGGGGGGGTCTTTCAGCCCAGTCTGGGGGGCACTGGGGCCCTGTGGCTCCTTCCATCCCCCTGATGAGGCAACACCCTGCTGTCCCCCCACACCACTGTCCCTCCCAAGCACCCTTAGGTGCAGCGCAGGAAGGTCTTTCCATTCCGGTGGCTGTGGCATCCCCTCCTAATGCCTTAATCCGCCCCTGATCCGCGGCGCCCCTGGGGCAGCCGGTCCCGCTGACCTTGCAGGTGCTGGCCCCGGGCAGGGACCCGGTGGCACCGGGCACCGCGGGGGCACGGGCTTCCACAGCCGCCCACCCATGGCCTCCTGCTTCACAAGGGCCCTGAAGAGCTTTAAGGGGAATGAGGGGCAGCCGCCCAAGGGTGGGAAGGCGGCCACGCTGCCCAATGGCACGGCCCGTGAGGAGTTTGAGGAGTACCAGCGGCAACTGCTGGAGGAGAAGTAAGGCTTCACCAGGGCTGTGGGGTCACGGGGGTCCCCCATGCTCTGGGACCAGGGTCCCATGCACCACAGGCTGTCACAGGGATGGGGCAGAGAGGGTGCCTCGGTGCCTCTCCCCACAGCAGAGTTGGTCCCAGTGGGTGCTGGCACGGGGATGGGACAGTGCTCGGAGCACTGTAGGTGACAAGGGGCACCCCCGGCGTGTCAGTGCCCCAGAGCAGTGGGTGTCTGGTCCCAGCCCAGCACCCATGGAGCTGAGGGAGGAGAGGGGCCAGCAGAGGATTGCATTAGGGTGCCACCTCCCTGGGTCCAGGCGCTGTGGGGACCTGGTAACCCCGCATCTGGGAGCTGAGGGACTGCAGGAGGAGCAAGTCCCCCCAGCGGGCACCTTCACTTGACCCTCTGCTGGGTGCTGCGGCTGGAGGGGCAGGATGTGGACCCTGCCCCCAGATCCCCATTGCATCCCCTTCTCCTGCCCCGGCACGGGACTGGCACAACCACACTGCTGCCGGGGGACCAGGGTGATGCCGGGCTGCGGGGGGGTGCGTGGTTCCGGTGGGGGGTGACAGTGTGGCACCCGCTGCTGCAGGAGCGAGCGGGACAAGGCCTTTGTACAGAAGGCGGAACAGGACACTCTGCGGATGCACATGCGGGACAAGTGCCACCTGCCCCAGGTAAGGACCGGCCTGCCCACGGCGGGCCCTCGGGGGTCTTCCCTGGAGCCCTCCATCCCAGGGGATGTGGAGGTCCTGGCAGCTGCCAGGGCTCCCCTGGGACGGGAGCTGATTCCTGAAGAGGGCAGCAAATGGCTGCTGTCTCTGCGCCATCCGCCTCCACGTGTCCCGTCAGCTTGTCCCAGTCTGGAACTGGACAGTCCCGCGTCTCCCCAGCACCCCCAGTGCCCGCGCAGAGCCCGGCTGGCCCTGGGGGACCCTGCCCCCCTCCGTCCCCCACCCCGTGGCTGGTGGGTGCCCGGGTCTGCCCGCAAACCCCGCGCAGGACGAGCGGGATGATGCTCAGCTGCACGTGGCCGGCGGCGCGGTGGAGCCGCCATGGTGCACGGCGAGGAGGAGGAAGACAAAGCGGAGGAGGATGACGGGGCCTTCGCCTTCCTGACGAAGCTGCGGGAGGTGAACCTGCTGGCGCTGCGGGACTGTGCGCTGGGCAGCAGGGACGAGATGGAGGGGAAGGGTGTCCTGGCGTAGCGTCGCTGCCCGCCTGGCCGGCGGGTCACAGCAGCAGCGCTGGGGCTCAGCCCTGCCCCGTGGCTCCCCCCCGGGAGCGATGCGATGTGAGTGTTACTGGTGCCTTTACCTGGGGCTGGGGCTTCCAATACACACAGTGAGGGTGGGGTTTCCTTCCCAAAACCCTGTCGCTTTTCCAGGGTGCACTGGGTGGGTGCTGGGAGGCAGGACACCCACCCGCTGGCCAAGGCCCTCCCTGGGGTGCCCCTGGTGTGAGCCCCCAGACAGGGCGAGTGGTGGTTCCTGATGCTCTGTCACCCCCGGCAACCAGCCCCAGGGCCTTGGGGACCCTTTGGCTCAATAACTGCAGAACTGTCCAGCACCGGTCTGGTCTTCCCACTGTACCCCACATCCACACAAACCCAGTCCGAGGCCGGGGGGGGGGGCACACAATGACACTGCTGCAACAGAGCTGCCCCAGGTGCCCCCAGGCCAGCACCCAGCATCACGCTCCGCCACTGGATCCATCCCCCCTCCTTCTGCGGTACCCCCCAGGCACGTCCACACGCCAGGGATGCCCGGGACCCCCAGGATATCCCCTGGGGGCAGCACCGGTGGGGGTGTGTGACAGCTTTCAACCCGCCCTGAAGCATCCCTCTGCCAGCACAGGCAACAGGGAGGTCCATTCGGCCAGGGCCGGGGTGCCCCCCTGCCCCTCGCCCCTCTGAAGACTCACTCCCTGCTCCCAGGCACTCAGCAGTGGCACCGGCTTAAATGCCGCCGTGCCGGAAGGCTGGGGGCTGCTGAGATCACTAATACCTGCCTATTTTAGTGAGGCCTAATCTGCCTGAGTCGCCTGTCCCCGAGGACTAAGCTCGCTCAACTCTTGTAAAATGTACCGCCAGCACTGGCCCCAGCAGCACCTCTGCACCGGAGCAGGCGCCGCCGGGGGAGTCACGCTGCGTTTGCATGAAAGGAAGGACGCGCTGAGCTGCCTCCGTCCTCCCCACGCCGGGGCCATCTGCTCCAGAAAGGCCTCTGTGTGGGGACGGCCCTGCCCTGGGCTGCCCACGGCCTCGGTGGTGCCTCAGGGAGGGGCGGCTGAATCCAGCCACCTTGGGTGGGAGTTGTGCCGTGGGGCTCATCGCTGTCACAAGAGCCCCAGGTCTCAGCCGCCCCAGCGGGAGCACCCAGAGCCGCAGGAGCTCCGGCAAGGTCTCAGTTCCCCCCCGCAGGGCACCCAGCCCTCCAGGTACCCGTCGGGGGGCTGGTGACTGCCGGAACACCCCAGGGGAGCGTGTGACGTGTGCGCCCAGCTGTCCCTGCTGTCCCCACCGTCCCTGCTGACACTACCATCCCCACTCTCCGGAACCTGAAAAATCTCCCATTTGGGCACAAAAATTCCCCCGTGTTGCATGGGATGGGGCTGTCCGTGTCCCCACCGGTCCCCGGGCAGGTCCCTGATGGGGCAGCAGCAGCTGCGGCACCTGCACAGCCCCGTTCCCTCCCCACGTTGCTCTCCCCAGGGCTGGGGCTCGGCGCTGCGAGTCGGGAACGGCGACACTGAGGGCCCCGGTACGCCCGGCTCCTCCAGCCCCGCTCCGCACTGGGGCCCCATCCCACCCTGACAGGCAGCCCGGCTCCCAGTTCTCCCAGTGGGGCTGCCTGGGGGCTCCCAGTGCTGGCCGGGATTCAGGTCAGGACCCTCCGCCAGGTCTCCTTGGCTAATCATCCTGCCCCCCCCATCCTCCCCACTCTGCCACCTGCCTCCCGCCCAGCACCCTTTTGGGTCACCCCTGCCGCCTCCCCGCCTGCCCAAGGCCTCTTAATGAACTAAAAAAGTGATAAATCCCCGGCCGGGCTGGTCACGTGAGGCCGGTGGCCCCCCAGGCGCCCCCTGCCCCGACCCCCGCCTCCGGCCCCACCGCCCCG